GGAGGTCTATCGTCACCTCCGTTTGAACCACGGACACCCCTCCACACTGACACAACCACACATCTCCACGACGGCCGGGGGCCGTGACCACACTGGCACGACAACACCGAGGCTCACCAGGACACGCGGCGTCACTCATTCATCTGGGAGTCTGTCTCCACCCGCCCAGAAGGATTCACGTCGGGGGAAATCCACAAACGCTACACATCGGGGCCTTTCTTCCGGAGGGCCGGTGGTGAAGCGTTCGCGGACACGCCACGCCCCCCCTGCTGGCCACCTGCTGGCTGAACCAGACTGGCTGAGGTCGTCCCCAGAGGTGGCCGCAGAGGTCAGCGCCCTGGGGCACAGAGCGGGGGTGGACGGTGGGCTCCGGTATGACAAGCACAGCGAGCTGGCATTGTGCCTGCCACTTTGCCCTGCCTCCCCGGGACCAGCACCATCTAAGTCACTGTGCATTGACATTTACGCAAGGGCAGGCCCTCCCCCGCTCCAAAGCTTTCCGTGGCTCCGCGTTGCCCATGTCCACTTATTCAGACGTCGAAAACATTTATTAAGCGCCCTGTGTCGGGCACCTTGGGGTGGCATCCAAGACTCCTCCCCCTCATTTGGCCCCAGTCTGCCCAGCAGGTCCTCACGGGCTGCTGTGTCTTGACCATGTGGCCATGTGGGGCCACCAGCGTCGTCTGGCCCAGGCCTCCCGGCTGTGCCGCGGTGGCCCCGCGCGGTACGTGGGAGAGAGCTGGCCGGGGCTGGAGACCGGCTGTTTCTCCCCAGCACTGTGACAGCCCTGGGAGGGCCACAGAGAAGATCCGGGTGGAGGATGTGCCCCGGCGGGTGGCTGCTGTCACCGAGTCCTCGCTCTCCGTCTGGCCCCCACTCCCCATCAGTAAACACTGAATGGGCGGACGGGCCCGTGGAAAAGGCAGAATCACTTCCATTTCCCAGACAGTCAAACCAGGGCTCAGAGAGGGCAGCGGACCCCGCCAGGCTCCCGCAGCCAGCACGTGGCCCTGCCTCGTCCTTGTCCTCGTCGGGCACCCGAGCCCCACCAGGCCAGAAGTGGCAACTGCCAGCCCAAGGGCCAAAGCAGCCCACAGCTGTTTGGGTTGGCTCTCAGCGTGAGCTGGTCTGCATGAGGCTCTGAATTTCAGGAGTTCACAGCTTCGCTTTCGTCTTTCAAATCCTGATCGATAGCAGAAACCTGGAAGCAATCCAAAGGCCCAGGGGCCTGAGAGGCGCTAAGCGGAAGCGCGCCCTTTCAGCTCCGGGGCTGGGCCTCTGAGAGCCGAAGGCCAGTGCAGAGCGAGGAGGGAGACTCCATGGGCTGCAGCAATCAGGGAAGCCTTGCTGCAAGAGGGAGGCTTGAGCCGAGCCGTGAAGGCCGAGTCATGCCCGGCTCACGGCTCACCTGAATGGAATGGATGGTTCGAGAAGGGTGGGAAAGCGCAATTCAAAGGAATGAGCTTGTTAATAGAGAAATTTGAGGCACAGCAGGAAGCAGGTTGGGAGGGACTTGGAGGTGGGTTGGGGGAGGTCTTCCCTGAGACCCTCCTCTGTACCTCACCGCAGGGAGCCCCGGTTCACCAGACCAGGATGGGGAGGGTGGGGGTGGGGAGTTGGCCCGTGCACACTGTGTGCCAGGCACCACGCGTGGCACTCGTCGTGCATCGGCTCATCGACTCCTCGCATCTACAGGACACAGAAGAGGAACTTGGGCTTGACCCCCAGGCCCCCTTGGGCCCCTTTACCTGGAGGAGGGAATGGGAAGGAAGCCTTTGTAGAAGCAGGGGGTTTCTGTGTAGGCTGTTCCCCTGCGGAGAATCCTTTCCCTATTTTCTGCAGAGGGCAACACCACCTTGCCCTCCGGGCTCCAGTGTCACCTCCTCCTGGAAGCCTCCCCAGACAACCCCTGCCCCCCACCCCCCTCCCCCCATATCAGAGTGCTCTAATGTCAGCTCTTCCTGCTGCCTCAGTTTCTCCCTCAGCATTAGTGTTCCTGCTGCTTTGGGCTCCGTGTCCAACTTCCCAGCCTCATGGCCACCTCGTGCGTCAGGGGCTGCCTCTGTGTCTGTTCTGTTCTTCTTGTGCCCTCTGCGCCCCCAAGTGCTGAGCGCTTGGAGGTGTTCAACACAACAAATATCTCTTGAATACCTAGTTGACCGAAGGCACGAATAAACACACGAATTTAAGAATGAGCGGACGGGTCTTCTCTGGGTCACCCGGATGGTCAGTGTGGCCCGGACGCGGGGGAAGCCGGGGGTCCTGCCTCTGGGACAGCGCCCCACCCTCTCTTGCCCTCTGTCTGGCTTCCCTGCTTCCCTTCTGGAGGCTCATACCTATTCTCCACTCAGCAGCCAGAATGATCCCGTTAAAGCCCGAGTCCAACTGCAGCCTTCGGTGCAGAGTCTCCATTTTAGAAGAAGTGTCCTGTGCCGTGGATGGGGCGCTGGCTGTGCCACGTGACCGTATTTACGAACCCCGCACAGCTCCCATCGAGTGCAGAGCACCAGCCCAAGTCACCAAGGTGCCCGGTCCCTGACCTCACGTCCCTCACTCCCTGCACTCCTCTGGGCCTCTCCGTTCCTCTCTCCTGGCAGGCGTGCTGCTGCCTCAGGGCCTTTGCACTGGCTCTCCCCTCAGCCTGGAATGCTCCTCCTCTAGAAGCCTTTGGAGATGCCCCTTCCACAGCGAGGCCCCTCCTGACCTGACCCCCTAGTGATATCGGCAACCCGCTCCCCGCCTGCTCTCCTCACGCCCCACTGTGCCCACCCCTTCTCTTCTCCAGGGCGCTCTCACTTGCCACCTCGTGTGCAACGGCCTTCCTCATCACGTTGACGGTCTCTCCCCGTTCCCTTGTTTGCGGCCCTGTTCTCCAGGTCCCAGAGGCGCCGGGGAGGGAAGGGATGTGGTCTGGAGCGCGTGAGGGAGAGGGGAGAGCTCCGGGGCGGCCACAACTTCCTCAAGGCAAATTTAGGAAAAGCTGAAGTGAAAAAGGCTTGGGCAGCTGAGGGCTTCCTGCAGCTAGTTCCAGGGGCGTGCATGCGCCTCGGTGCATGTGTGCGTGTGCATACGAGCGTGCATGCGTGCGCCGTGCGTGTGCTGCCGTGTGTGTGTGTGTGTCTGTGCACTGTGTCCGTGAGAGTCCTGAAATAGGGGACTTGCCCTCTCAGGGCCTCGGGGGCTTGAGCGAGGAGGCATCGGGCTCAGCAGTCCCTGGTCCTGGCTCCCCAAGACTCCCTGGCAGGGCCCTGTGGCGCTCAGTGCTCTGTCCTCCCCCTCCCTGGGTGGTGTGACCTGACGGAAGAGCGTGTGGCCTCTGGAGCCCGACTTTCAGGGTCCCCGGTCCCAGCTCTGCCAACTGATGAACCGTGTGACCTCGAGGAAGCAATGTAGTCACACTGTGCTGCAGTTTCAGAGTCTGCAAAGTGGGGAGGATCGGACAAAACCCCACCTCCTTATTGTTGCAGGATTTGAAGGGCAAGAACACGTGAGGGGCTGAGGCCAGCCGTGAGGACCTCGGAACTGGTCTCAGATCCGGCCTGTGAGACCCAGGCCAGCCGCGGGGAGCAGGCCCCCCGGGGTGGAGGCCACCACCGGCTGAGAAGTGAGGGCCGCAGAGGAAAGTCCAAGGCTGCCCCAGGAGGCACCTGCACCCGGCAGGTGGTCTCAGTGGAGGCCTGGGGGATGAGGCTGCTTTGTCCAGGGGAGGAGGGAGGAGGGCCACGGGCTGCCCGGAGCAGGGCAGGGAGGGAGCCAGACGGCCTGGCGGTGCCTGCCGGGAACTCGGCGAGACCTATGCCCAGTAGGACCAAGGACCCCCGTCCTTGAAGTGCCTGCCTGCACCTGTCCGGGCATGGGGGAGCCACGGCAGGTGTCTGAGCAGGGGCGTGGAAGCTTCAACCCAAGGCTTCTGCTTCCAGGCCGATAGAGGGATACCACCATAGCATAGGCTGGAAAGATGAGACACTTTCTCGCAAAAATACTTAGAAAACAAAACCTGTAAGAACACAGCAGTTAGGGCACACTGCTCTGTGTGAAATGGTAACGTCCTAAGGGGCAAAGGGGCCGAGGGGAGCGCGATGTATAAAGCCTTCCTGGAGGAGGAGGCCCTGGAAGTGAGCCTTTGTGGAGGCAATAAGAAAGTATGCTGCAGCGTCCTGGGTGACTTTGGGCAAACCACTTCCCTCTCTGGTCTCCGCTCCCATCTGCCCTCCCAGCGCTGACCCAGGCCCCTCCCCTGTGGCTCTCTGGGCTCTGACATTCCTCCATCAGAGATGAGGACCCTTGGAATCCGCCGGGGGCGGGGAGGGGGGCGATTCAGGTTCTTGATTTAGACGGAGACCCCACCTGCCTCGGTTTCCCCTCTGCGCTGGCTGAGGCAGGGAGGATTATAATGCTTGATTGTCAAAGACCTTGCACGCCTCAGGGGCCAGATGCCAGGGATTGTTTTCCATTCCTAGGAGGGTGGGCCCTTCCTGCCAGGAGAAAATTCCAAGCTCTTGCAGCCGGGGAGGGGGTAGATCCTGTCACCAC